AAGTGGAGCTGGTTTCCCCATGCTTCTGTCTCAGCTTGGAAAGAACCCTACATTAAGCTCACTAGGGCTTCCTCTCAAGTAAGTCCATAGGTGCACCGTAGTGGCGTTGATATGACTAGTACACATTGAGGAACTATGTCCAGGAGGAAGACCTGGCTGGGCTTTTAATGCACTGGGGCAAAATTTCATGGGTCTCTTCCAGGAAAGTCCCAAAAGCTCAATATGTGGGAATGCCCAAAGTCTTCAAAGACTCAGATGTGTTTGTGGGTCCACACAGATCGCCTGGACTGGACTGTGAAGCAGTGTGTGTCTGTGTCTGGGGGAGGGGAGACAACAGGAGAACCCCCAGAAATTAGCAACCTTAGCCAGAAATCAGCAGAGATATTTTTATGGGCCAGAAGAAGTTCTTCTGGTCTCCTAAAGTCTTATCATTCATAGGGTAGGTTTCATAGATTTCAATGGGCTCCTTGAACCCAAGTTCTGATAAAGTTGACCCTTTACAGGGATAAAAGAAATAAGAACCATTCTTATATCTATCTAGACAGAAAGAAAGGCCTGCAAGTCAAATCGCGAATGCTGGAAATCGGTGTACACACTACAGCTGGGTTGGACAGCCACCCTGTCTTGGGACTGTATGATGTCCTGGCCTTTAATTCAGCGGAATCTCTGTATCTTAAGAGATGCTTGTTTCTTTAAATCCCACATTACTTCTATTTGCACACTTCAGCCCCACACTTAGAAGGCAATCCGGCCACAGTATGACTCTCTCTGCCTATATTCTGGGCCATTTATTCTTCAAAGGTTCTTTCTAGAAGTTTCCAGGGGAAGTGCGGAAAATGCATCATTAGCTTCTTATTAATTTCAGTGTGCGTGCGTGCACATACACAGACAGACAGACAATTTTCTTAAAATAGTGGTGCTGCGACTTTAAATTACAGAACCGGCTTGGTGTTTAATGAGAGATTTAGCACAGCAGGGGTTCTGTTAAATTAAGTTGTGCCTTCACACCACAGTGGGAAAACAGGTGTATATTGGTTTAGAATTATGGAAATGTTGACTAATTCCAAGGCTTGTAATCAAACAGCAAGGCACCCAAGCAATATTTCCTTCCAAGAGACAGCATTAATCATTCATGCCTCACAGTGTTTTCTTCATGTCCACCAAAAAGTCTTTTCAAAGGGACAGAGAGGGTGTCAGAGCGTTTGTGTCTCCATTAAAGACAGAGGGGGATTTATCTGTTGGAGCCACGCGTAACGACAGAATTATAAAGATACCGACTCCATTTGAAATGGAGGCTGCAACAGAGAGAATGCAACTGTGGACAAATTGGGCCAGCGAGCCCTTTCTGGATTTTGACTTTCGATCAGCTCCAGGCTCTTAACTGGGAGGATAAGAGGGGGAAAGAGCATTTTCCAAGAGCATTTTCTGCACGAATCCCTGCAGTTGTGAGGGGCGCCTTCCACTAAGACAGCTGCATGCATGCCACCCTGTCCCTTCCAGAGCATTGCTAGGACATCAACTGTCGATCCTCTCGTGACCCATCTGTGCTGGGAGAGAGAAAGATGGCTGCTGTGGGTGCAGATTCTCAAGGGCTGCTGGCTGGGCTCCAAAAGAAGCATCCGGAGCAGGAGGGGGCCTGGGAATGTGCGCTATCCTGAGGGACAGAAGAGAGAAGTGGAGATGCTCATCTCAAGGCTGGGCTCCCCAGGTGGGCAGGTAGTCCCTGGGAACAGCCCAGAAGTTGCAGGAGGGGACTTGAGGCAGGGGAGTTTCTGAGGTGGGCATGGCTCTTGACCCTGTGATGCAGCACCAGCAGAAGAGGGCGATGATTCTCCAAAGGGGTAGAGCGTCACCTCACAGAGAGGAGGTGTGCTTGTTCTCGGAAGGCCCCTCCTGAAGGAATGGGGCCCCGGCATGCTCATAAGGAGTGTTCAGATTGGCTTGAAAGAACCACTCAGAGATTCATTCTGGGTGTTTGTGCATCTGGAAAATGCTTTGGTCCACGAATAACGTTGTGCAAGAAAGGCCTGCAGCTCTGAATGTGTGGAGGGAGGAACCCCAGTTCCCATCAATCTGAATCTCTGATGGAAACTAGGTGTACTTCTGATGGTTGATCTGGCTTTGCAGTGGCATGGCCAGAGAGAAAGAAGAGGGTAACAACAATCACAACAACAACAACAACAAGGCATCCTTCAATGCAAAAAGAGGGACGAGGCAGGGAGAGTAATTTTGCTGGGGCAAGTTCCGAGAGATATAGGAAGCACTGGAGGTTTTGCCTTTGGCCCATCGGTCAGTGCCTCTGCAGAACAAAGCACCAGAGGTCCCCGCTTCCCCTCCAGAAGCCCTCGCAGTAAGCAGTGTCCCCCCTTTTCCTGGTGCTTTTATCCCACTAGTTCCATAGGCAGCTCTCCAATTGCCTGGGACTCCTACCTTCAGATTTATTGCCTGGGACTCCTACCTTCAACAGTGCGCCAGCAGCAGCACAGGATCCTTTGGCTTGTCCAGGCCCACTGGCTTCTGCTAATCAGCCTTTTGATCCCTTCTCCCTTTGCACAGAGGCACCGTTCAGGGAGAGCAGGCGTGTCGCTGCCTTCCTTTGTTTCGTACTCTTTTATTATTCCTTTGCAGTTCGGACATTTCTGGCCAGCTCTCTGGAACCACACGCCAGAGAGCTTTGGCTATTGGTTGGTATAGGAATGGAACAGATCCAGAAACCCAGAAAATATTGTCACAGGCAATTTGTTGTGACTATATTATGCTTGGCATGCTCACCCAAAGGTGGGGATAACTTTAAAAGGAAGAAGAAGGGAATGATGTGTTGGTAGTGGGACTTCTTTGCATAAAATCGGCAGCATTTAAGGCATGGTTCCAGAGGGACGTCTTTGATAGGGTTGCAAATGTCCTGCCAGAGTTAGCCTTTCTTGCAGCCACTGAACTTCTTTTCTGCAAGCCAAGAGCAAGTCTGAGAATGCTTGGGACCCCTTCTTTGTGCAAAGAAGGAGAAGCCTGAGGCTGTGGAAGGTGGGCCTATTGCTTGCTGATCACAGTTCAGATAGATTCTGAGGAGGATGCGGAGGAGCGAGTGGGGAGAGGGGACTCTGAAGTTTCAAGGTTACCCACTGAAGTTCTTCAGGCTGGGTTTGAGTATCAGCCTGTTTTGAAAGCGGTGCAAGGGTTTTCAGGATGGTGGTATACAAGGGACCCAGTCTTTGGCCCAGTGGCAGCACCAGGAGAAATGAGCTGTCCAGCTGGTAGCACAGAGCCATCAGGACTAGTAGCCACTCCAGGAATTGTCCCAGTCCCCCTTTAAAGGTGTCCCAATGGATGGCCATCACAACCTCTCATGGAAGTGAATTCCATAGTTTCACTGGGATCTGTGGGAAGCTGTATCCCCTTTGATCTGTTGGGACCTTCCCACCCATTAGCTTCAAGTGATGACCCTGGATTCGATTGCCAAAAAAGAATGAGAAAAATGTTTCCCTCTACTCAAGCACGTGCAATTCCCTCCACTTCTATCATGTCTCTCCTTTATTTGCCTTCCTGCTAATCTGAACCATCTTGGCTCTTGTGACCTTTTCTCATAGCAGAGTTGTGCCAACCCCGTGAACATTTTTATGGCCACTTTCAGTATTTTTTCCAGCTCTACGGTATCCCGTTTAGGTGCAGCAGGCAGAAATGTCCACTGCAACCCCAAGATCTCTTTTCGGCTCAGTCACTTCTAGCTCAGATCTCATCCGCGTACACTTGAAGTTGGGATCTTTTGCCCCTGTGTGCGTTACTTTACACTTGCTTACATTGAACTGCATTTGCCCAGTTCTCCCAGTCTGGAGAAATTCCTTGCAGCTCTTCACAATCCCTTTTGATTTTAAGCGCCCTGAATTGTTTGCTAAAAGCTCAATTCTCTTTGAACCCTGTGAAAAGTTTGGAGAAGACATAAAGAAGCCTTCAGAGGTGACAGATATGACTACACAACCATGTAACTATGCTCCCCACTACACAAGGACTCACACACCCTGAGGTGTGAATTCCTTATCTGCAGGCAAGGGATGCACCTCTTTGCGGATGACCAAGGTCTGGAGGCAAATGGGTGAGCGCTTTTGCCTTGAGCAATTTTACCTTCCAGCCAAATTGCATTGCCTTCACAGTATCCCCTGCTCTCAGAGGAAAGATCAGGCTTGAGGTGTGTGTGTGTGTGTAAGAGGGTACCAAAGCAAGAGCCGATGGAAGCTGCAAAGTTAATTCAGACAGGTAGGAAAGAATAATACATTCTGGAGGAGGGAAAGAGGCAACGTTTTGGGCTCCCAGTGTTCTGTTTGTATCGAAAACGTTCAGCAGCCAAAGTCTGGCTCAGCCTGCATCAAGGTCAGCCTCTCTGCAGAGGCAGAGGCAGCTTTTGTTATTCAATATGCTTTTGAGCGACACAATGTGAAGAAAAATCGGAAGGAAAAGAGCACTGCGCATCCAAAAGGACCGGTTCACATTTCATGTTTCCCCATACTCAAAAGGACCGGCTCTGCTCCATCCAGCACCATGCGGTTCTTTTAAAAGCGGCCCATGCTTTCCTTTTATTCGAAAATGCATTAAAATAACGAAGGCCTGTGTTCATCTGGGAGCTCCTTTGTATTGGCTCAGACCACTGGCCCATTTAACCCACCACTGTGGACACTGAATGGCATCGACTCCCCGGGGCTTGAGGGAAATCCCTCCCTATCCTGCCTGGAAAAGCCAGGCTATGTCCCCGCTCCGAACTACCCCATGGCATTAAGAGCAGCTTTTGTGCATCCTAATCAGATCACCATTGCGCTATCAGCTGGTGGCACTCCTGTTCCTTGAGCCACCAGGCCATTAACTTTGTCTGCAGGACCACAGCCATTGCCGGCACTAAGAGCTGGTGACGAGCACCTTCCGTAACACAGGAGCTTTCGTTCCTTTTCTTCCCCCTCCCCTTGCTTCCTTCCAGTTCCAGAACGATTACAGTGAAAGAAAGTAAATGTACTCACCCCAGGTAAAGTTTTAATATTGTGCAATGCATTCTGTGCCTCAAGTGCAGCTTTTCTTGTATAAAATGTTACGAAACAACAACCTACAGAGAGAAATTGAAAAGCTTTCAGAAATTACTGGGAATGGTTTGCTCAGCTACAAAAGAAAAGAAAGAGAAGGTGGAGGCAGACAATGACTGAGCAACATTATTATAGGAGGGCTGAAAATGCATTATAATGAGACTACATGAGCGGCACGGAGAAGAGAGATGCTTTATTGTTCAAAAAGGAGTTGGGGGAGAGATTAAAGTCCCCCACAATATTGTATCCATGCAGCACAACTACAGATTCAGCAAAGAGTTACTGCTCAGAAATTAAGTTAACCAAAAGTTCAATTGGCACCACATTGTGTAAACAATGGAATGTCCTTCCCCCCCACTGTAAGTTTTCCTGCATTGCTAGTACAGATTTGACAGAGGGAAAACCTATCAATGCAAGCTGCCCGTGAAACAAAGGACAGCTTAGGTGCTGGAGTTACCCATCAATGGCAGCTTTTCTTCATAACTCGCCACGTAGTCAGAAGGCCACAGTCCTAAGTTCTAAGCTAATATTTTCCTGGGTAGGAAGGAAGAAATGAAAGCCACAGGCAGGGCTGTCGAAGCCCTTTTAGCTCAGGGGCTGAATTCCATTTCAGAGATGCTCCCAGGACCTGCATTCCGGAGGTGAGGAGGGCTGAAGGCCACCCAAAATAGCAACACACATATTTTAAAACTCTAGGCATTTTGACCTTTTAGATTGGGGCAGGGGTAGCCTATGCAAAAGCTAGGAAGCAGCTGGCAACCTGGGGAAAGGGGCACCTCCTCTGAGAACCCCAGACTGAAACTCGGGGGGGGGGAGGGTGGCTCATTGTCCTCTGGTTCTTAGCTCCTGTTAAAGGAACGTGCAGGACAAGGTTCTTGGTGACAGTTTAGGTTAGGTGGGTCATGAGAGAGACTGTGCATGCTAGGTTGTAAAGGCCTGCAGTGGGAAGTCATAGTTTCCCATCAATGTGTCCCTACATCCTTAGGATCCACCAGTGGTTTCAGATTTCCTGTGATCTGCATCCTTCCTTGGCCCCAAAGTTTGCAACAACCTCCCATCCATAGAATGACCAGCTACCCTCCCATCACGTGTTGAGGTATTTTATTTATTTTTTTAAAATAGTTCCACGCTGTCCTATACAAAAATCATCCCGGGACAACTTAAAATAATTAGAACAATAAATAAACAGCATACATAATATCAACAAAGACAAACTGCGACTGTAAATACGAAAACCAGTTAAAATTCCTTAATCCTTAAAATAATGGGTAAATAAAAAGGTTTTTACCTGGCACCGAAAAGAATATGAAGTCGGCGCCAGGCAAACCTCTCTGGGGAGCACCTTCCACAATACCACCTCCCAAAGCTCTGATGCTCGTTTGTTGGTTGCAGAGGTCGAATAATCCCACTGGCACAAGTCCCAAGACAGTTGGGATGACAAGGCCGACACCTGGAATCTTTGGGCAACTGCTTGGGCCCATGCACCCCAATGGGGGCCACTGGTACTGATCCCTAGGCTGGCCGGTAGCTGAGACGAACCATTTTACATCTCCTGCAATGTCTCCAAGCAAAGCTGTGTTGGGCATTCCTGGGGCATATAAAACAGCAGTGGTTCCATGCTGACTGAAGTGGTGGTCCTCTGGCTTGGCCTGGAGGAACATCACCAGATGAATCCACCAGGAGGCCCACCAGCAGAGGAGAGGGTTCACCAGTGGCCTGGGGGTATCCCTGCTTGCACACAAGACCTCAGAAACCATATCTGAGAAGTGTTGACCCAGATCTGTTTTACAACCTAACAGTGAGTTCAAGAATCAGCCCACCTTGAGTACCTAAGATGCATCAAAATGGATTTTGCTGGGTCAAAACTGCTAGTCTTTCCGGTTCCAACCTCTCCCTGCCAGTAATAGCTACACACCCTCCAGATGTGCATCATTTTTATAGATTGTTTGTATTTTGGAAACAAAATCGCCTTCTCTTTCTCAGAAATAGTTTGTTCCTATTTCCTCTTAGGGAAGAAAATCCATCTGACGACAATACATTTTGCATCAGTGAGAAATCCTGCTCTACTGGAGGGAACCAAGTGACACGCCTTCTGTGGGGATAACACAATCTGCCCGGAGGCTGAATGGGATCTTTTCCTTAGGTGCAGAAAGATGTGAGCATAAAATGTACAACAGTGGATGGGGGTTGTAGTCAAAGACATCTTCAGGGTGCAAAGTTGGGGAAGGCTGGTTGAGGGGAAGCTGCAGGGAAGCACTGCAGGGAGGAAGAGCTAAATATCCTTCCATCTATGTGTTCGTTCCCTTTTACAAGTCCCCTCAGCCCTACTGAGGGAATACGGGTCTGGAAACCATTCACTTATTTGGTAGGATGGGCACGTGCCCCCCTTTCCATAGGCCTTTCCTCTGTTTGAAGGCACCCTAAAAACCGTAAGAAGACCAAGTTTTTCGGCGCCAGGCGAAGACCTTTTTATTTAAGCAGCATTTTAAATGTTAATATTATTGAATTTTATTTGGCCAGGGTGGCTTATTTTATATTGTATATTTGTATTTTATTTTAATGTATATATTTTAAAATGTTATTTATGATGATTTAACTTATTGTTGTAAGCCGCCCTGAGGCTTCAGCAAATGGGGCGGCATAAAAATGTGTTAATAAATAATAAAATAAAATAAAATTTAAACCAGCATCCTGTTCACCCAGTAACCAACCGGCACCTCACAAGATACCACAAGCAGAACATCAGTGAAATGGCACTCTTCTGCCCATGATCCCCAGCAACCTGTGTTCACAGGCATACTGCTTCTGACACCTGTGAGGACAAACAGGTGTGTGTAGCCTTCTCCGTTGATTTGCCCAGCATTTTTTAAAGCTATCCAGATTGATGGCCATTACAACATCTTGTGGTTGTGAATTCCACAGGACGACAGTGAGATGTCTATGTTATAACATTGCTTTCTAAACACGCATGTATATATAAAACTAGAATTTGCACATTCCATGCAACCCACCCATCCACTGATCTTGCCTGCCACTGCCTGTGGAGGTGACATGGGCAAATTTCTCCTTAATTGCCCTTGAAGACTTTGCAATGAGAACAGCTACTGACACGACACCGCCTTTCTCATGCCAGCGGCAACAGCCATGTTTCGGCTGCTGTAATACAGGGAGAAGCATAATCCACTGGATTGCTGAGCTGACTGCTGGGTTTCCGTGCACTTCTAGGCTGCGTTGTCAAGGAGCTGTCAGGAGAAAGGGCTCGAACGAACGCAAACAGATTCACCCTTAAATTTTCACAGTTGACAAGAGAGACCATTTGGCAATTATTTCAGCCTTTTAAGAATCATTATCACTATCAGTAAAGGACCATTAAATCAGCCAAAGACTGTACCTCTTGCATGCAGGTTTGCTTTCTGAAAAATTTAACCTTCTAAGATGCCTCTCCTTCCCTTCTCTCACTATCTGATAGTGATACTGATACAATTTCATACTGATGGTGAGTTCATACTGAGATGATTCCCTGTCCCAGCTCTTTGGAGGGGGAAGTCTTGCTTCTGAATATTCCAGAAAACAAGAGCTGTCTACAGCCACTAGACTGACCTCAGGCCTATGTGATCCCCATGAACTGTCCAGCCCTGTAGGGGTTATGGTGTCACTGAGAGGAGAGCTTGGGGGTGGACGAGCTGGCTAGTTCTGCTGGGGACCTGAATGCCCGGCAGCTGAATAAATGACATCAGTTTATTTCCTTGCAGAACTGATATTCCTCTCTACATACAACATGATTCCTGAGCAGTGAATAATAAAAAAAGAAAACAAAAACATTCAAAACACAGAATAAAATGATTTAAAATCAAATCCAATTATGGGATCTTAACACCCCATATAACGCAAATTGAATTCATATATTGTCTGTGCATGGTTCGTTAGCAAGGCAATCGGACATCAATATCCCTCATATTTGCTCTATTTGCATTGTTATTACAGGGCTGCGACTTATCCTTTGACCATCTGCCGTTGTGTCATCGCTTTGGCACCAAAATTTCCTTCTGAGTAACTGAAGCAGCACCTTGTGTGTCGAAACTTCTCCAGTGCATCCTGGCTTCTTACGATGTGTCTGAAGTATGGCAGCCTCAGTGTTTCGTTTTTGCTTCTAGGGAAAGGTCTGGCTTGAGTTGATCTAGGACCTGCTTGTCCATCTTTCTGTTGGTCCAGGATATTCCTAAAGCTCTCTTCTAGTACCGTGTTTCGAATGCATCTTTTTTCTTTTTGTCAGGTTTCTTCACTGTCCAGCTTCACACTGTGATTGGGACACAATAGTCTGGAAGATTTCAACCTTGTCTCCTTCAACTTGATGATTTTTTTCTAGTTTCTTCTTTGCTGCCCTCCGAAGTCTCAGTCTTCTTTGAATTTCTTGGCTGGACTCTCCCTTTGAATTGATGACTGTGCCAAGATATGTGAACTCTTTCACAATTTTACAGCACCTTAGCAAACTAGAAAATCTCTGGCTGGCTATGAAGTTTTGTTAGCAAGAAGAATCACATATTTCTCTTTGGACTGAGAGGGACTCTCGCTTGCATTATGCATGTGATTAGACTCAGCTCATGCATTTCGTTCGAGGTGGGCAGTTCCTTGTTTTATTTCTGATTGGCGCTCTAGCTGAAGCTTATCCATTTCGAAATCTGAGGCTCCCTGGATTCTCCCAGGGCAAACTTGCATAGACATTTTGTGTTGGTGCACTTACGGATGTTGGTAATCTGCATCACTTCTGTTTCAGACTGGGCAAAGTTCTCAGCTGTGTCCAAGGCCTAAGCTGTGGCTGGTCTCGACTGGACTTTGAAAGGAGCCACCTTCGTAATGCGTCACTTGAGAATGGCTCATTTCAAACGGGCCATGGCTGGTAAGGTTCCAACAGTACAATGGGCTGCAACTGGTTAGGGGTGAAGGCAGAGGCAGCCATGTTGGGGGACGGGGCGTGCACTAATTAATTAATTATATTTACATCTCGCCTTTTTTCATTTCAAAC